AGTTAACTCGGCCACAAGTCAACTCGGCCACAAGTTATTTATAATTAAAATGAAATGTAAATACGGTATTACAGTTTCTGCATCCTTTTTCTTCAATATGATTAAAATGAAGTACACAGTATACTTTAGTAAAATTCTGATCATCGTCACATCGTCGTGAGATCGTTGTATATCGTTGTATACATTTCTTCACACTGTACTCTTATTCAACAGAGAAAACCCGCCACTTACAGAATGGAATAAAATCTGACAATTGTAACATTAACAGTTTAAGCAATCTTAATAATTAAGAAAAATACATATATTAATGTTTAATTTTGTTCACGTTAAAACACTGACATAAAACATGAGTAAATACTGTAGACCTAATCATAAAAAATTGAAATAGAAAAACCACATTATGATTTTTTTAAATGTTAAAAATTTATTTTGAATCCGACTAAAATCAAATGAATGCACGATGGCGTGCATTTCGATACTATTTTCTTCAGAACCACGCCTAAGAATTAGGCCTACGTTAAAATTAGGTGGTGTGCAGCATCTGATATAAATTATCCACAATATGAACAATTGGTATTGTTGAGTGACAGACTTCAGTCCTTCATATTTGTTCGACCATTGGGGGATATGTTTGAAACCCGTCAGTGACAAGGATGCATCCAATGACGGGATTCACCAGTGACATAGTCGGTCCTTTTCAAATATTTACTTTAATAATACTATTTAGTCATAATAATGATAATAAAGGTGATAACAACAGCAATATTAATAGTAATATTTATTTTAACAATACTAATAGAAATAATATGGTAATAATAATAATATGGTAATAATAATATCTATATCTATTTTAATAATACTAATTAGTGATAATAACATTGAAGGTGATAATAGCAATAATAAACAGCAATAATAAATTAAAGATAAAGTTTATTTTTATAATAATAGTAATACTAATTAGTAATAATAATAATTATGATACTTATAATACTAGGCCTACTTAGTAATAATAGGGTAATAATATCGATAATAAAGGTGACAACAGCA